GAGAGAAGGGGGCGGGGTGATGGAAAGCGGGAGAATGGGGCGGGGTTATGGGAAGCGGGAGAATGGGGCGGGGTGATGGAAAGCGGGAAAATGGGGCGGGGTAATGGAATGAGGGAGAATGGGGCGGGGTGATGGAAGAAAGGAGAATGGGGCGGGGTGATGGAAAGCGGGAGAATGGGGCGGGGTGATGGAAGGAGGGAGAATGGGGCGGGGTGATGGAAAGCGGGAGAATGGGGCGGCGTGATGGAAAGCGGGAGAATGGGGCGGGGTGATGGAAAGCGAGAGAATGGGGCAGGGTGATGGAAGGAGGGAGAATGGGGAGGGGTGATGGAAAGCGGGGGAATGGGGCGGGATGATGGGAAGCGGAAGAATGGGGCGGGGTGATGGAAAGCGGGAGAATGGGGCGGGGTGATGGAAAGCGGGAGAATGGGGTGGGGAGATGGAAAGCGGGAGAAAGGGGAGGGGTGATGGAAAGCGGGAGAATGGGACGGGCTGATGGAAAGCGGGAGAATGGGGCGGGGTGATGGAAGGAGGGAGAATGGGGCGGGGTGATGGAAGGAGGGAGAAGGGGGCGGGGTGATGGAAAGCGGAAGAATGGGGCAGGGTGATGGAAAGCGGGAGAATGGGGCGGGGTGATGGAAAGCGGGAGAATGGGGCGGGGTGATGGAAAGTGGGAGAATGGGGCGGGCTGATGGAAAGCGGGAGAATGGGGCGGGGTGATGGAAGGAGGGAGAAGGGGGCGGGGTGATGGAAGGAAGGAGAATGGGACGGGGTGATGGATAGCCGGAGAATGTGGCGGGGTGATGGAAAGCGGGAGAATGGGGTGGGGTTATGGGAAGCGGGAGAATGGGGCGGGGTGATGGAAAGCGGGAGAATGGGGCGGGGTGATGGAAGGAGGGAGAATGGGGCGGGGTGATGGAAAGCGGGAGAATGGGGCGGGGTGATGGAAAGCGGGAGAATGGGGCGGGGTGATGGAAAGCGGGAGAATGGGGCGGGTTGATGGAAAGCGGGAGAATGGGGCGGGGTGATGGAAGGAGGGAGAATGGGGCGGGGTGATGGAAAGCGGAAGATTGGGGCAGGGTGATGGAAAGCGGGAGATTGGGGCAGGGTGATGGAAAGCGGGAAAATGGGGCGGGGTGATGGAAAGCGGGAGAATGGGGCGGGATGATGGAAAGCGGGAGAATGGGGCGGGGTGATGGAAGGAGGGAGAATGGGGTGGGGTGATGGAAGGAGGGAGAAGGGGGCGGGGTGATGGAAAGCGGGAGAATGGGGCGGGGTGATGGAAAGCGGGAGAATGGGGTGGGGTGATGGAAGGAGGGAGAAGGGGGCGGGGTGATGGAAAGCGGGAGAATGGGGCGGGGTGATGGAAAGCGGGAGAATGGGGCGTGGTGATGGAAATCGGGAGAATGGGGTGGGGTTATGGGAAGCGGGAGAATGGGGCGGGGTGATGGAAAGCGGGAGAACGGGGCGGGGTGATGGAAGGAGGGAGAATGGGGCGGGGTGATGGAAGGAGGGAGAATGGGGCGGGATGATGGAAAGCGGGAGAATGAGGCGGGGTGATGGAAGGAGGGAGAATGGGGCGGGGTGATGGAAAGCGGGAGAATGGGGCGGGGTGATGGAAAGCGGGAGAATGGGGCGGGGTGATGGAAGGAGGGAGAATGGGGCGGGGTGATGGAAGGAGGGAGAATTGGGCGGGATGATGGAAGGAGGGAGAATGGGGCGGGGTGATGGAAGGAGGGAGAATGGGGCGGGGTGATGGAAAGCGGGAGAATGGGGCGGGGTGATGGAAAGCGGGAGAATGGGGCGGGGTGATGGAAAGCGGGAGAATGGGGCGTGGTGATGGAAAGCGGGAGAATGGGGCGGGGTGATGGAAAGTGGGAGAATGGGGCGGGCTGATGGAAAGCGGGAGAATGGGGCGGGGTGATGGAAGGAGGGAGAATGGGGCGGGTTGATGGAAGGAAGGAGAATGGGACGGGGTGATGGAAAGCCGGAGAATGTGGCGGGGTGATGGAAAGCGGGAGAGTGGGGTGGGGTTATGGGAAGCGGGAGAATGGGGCGGGGTGATGGAAAGCGGGAGAACGGGGCGGGGTGATGGAAGGAGGGAGAATGGGGCGGGTTGATGGAAGGAGGGAGAATGGGGCGGGATGATGGAAAGCGGGAGAATGAGGCGGGGTGATGGAAGGAGGGAGAATGGGGCGGGGTGATGGAAAGCGGGAGTATGGGGCGGGGTGATGGAAAGCGGGAGAATGGGGCGGGGTGATGGAAGGAGGGAGAATGGGGCGGGGTGATGGAAGGAGGGAGAATGGGGCGGGATGATGGAAGGAGGGAGAATGGGGCGGGGTGATGGAAGGAGGGAGAATGGGGCGGGGTGATGGAAAGCGGGAGAATGGGGCGGGGTGATGGAAAGCGGGAGAATGGGGCGGGGTGATGGAAAGCGGGAGAATGGGGCAAGGTGATGGAAAGCGGGAGAATGGGGCGGGGTGATGGAAGGAGGGAGAATGGGGCGGGGTGATGGAAAGCGGAAGATTGGGGCAGGGTGATGGAAAGCGGGAGATTGGGGCAGGGTGATGGAAAGCGTGAAGATGGGGCGGGGTGATGGAAAGCGGGAGAATGGGGCTGGGTGATGGAAAGCGGGAGAATGGGGCGGGGAGATGGAAAGCGGGAGAAAGGGGCGGGTTGATGGAAAGCGGGAGAATGGGGCGGGCTGATGGAAAGCGGGAGAATGGGGCGGGGTCATGGAAAGCGGGAGAATGGGGCGGGCTGATGGAAAGCGGGAGAATGGGGCGGGCTGATGGAAAGAGGGAGAATGGGGCGGGGTGATGGAAGGAAGGAGAATGGGGCGGGGTGATGGAAAGCGGGAGAATGTGGCGGGGTGATGGAAAGCGGGAGAATGGGGTGGGGTTATGGGAAGCGGGAGAATGGGGCGGGGTGATGGAAAGCGGGAGAATGGGGCGGGGTGATGGAAGGAGGGAGAATGGGGCGGGGTGATGGAAGGAGGGAGAATGGGGCGGGGTGATAGAAAGCGGGAGAATGGGGCGGGGTGATGGAAGAAGGGAGAATGGGGCGGGGTGATGGAAAGCTAGAGAATGGGGCGGGGTGATGGAAAGCGGGAGAATGGGGCGGGGTGATGGAAAGCGGGAGAATGGGGCGGGGTGATGGAAAGCGGGAGAATGGGGCGGGGTGATGGAAAGCGGGAAAAAGGGGCGGGGTGATGGAAAGCGGGAGAATGGGGCGGGGTGATGGAAAGAGGGAGAATGGGGCGGGGTGATGGAAAGCGGAAGATTGGGGCAGGGTGATGGAAAGCGGGAGATTGGGGCGGGGTGATGGAAAGCGGGAAAATGGGGCGGGGTGATGGAAAGCGGGAGAATGGGGCGGGGTGATGGAAAGCGGGAGAATGGGGCGGGGTGATGGAAGGAGGGAGAATGGGGCGGGGTGATGGAAAGCGGGGGATTGGGGAAGGGTGATGGAAAGCGGGAGAACGGGGCGGGGTGATGGAAAGCGGGAAAATGGGGCGGGGTGATGGAAAGCGGGAGAATGGGGCTGGGTGGTGGAAAGCGGGAGAATGGGGCGGGGTGATGGAAAGCGGGAGCATGGGGCGGGGTGATGGAAGGAGGGAGAATGAGGCAGGGTGATGGAAGGAGGGAGAATGGGCCGGGGTGATGGAAAGCGGGAGAATGGGGCGGGGTGATGGAAAGCGGGAGAATGGGGCGGAGTGATGGAAAGCGGGACAATGGGGCGGGGTGATGGAAAGCGGGAGAATGGCGCGGGGTGATGGAAAGCGGGAGAATGGGGAGGGGTGTTGGAAAGCGGGAGAATGGGGCGGGGTGATGAAAAGCGGGAGAATGGGGCGGGTTGATGGAGAGCGGGAGAATGGGGCGGGGTGATGGAAAGCGGGAGATGGGGCGGGTGATGGAAAGCGGGTGAATGGTGTGGGGTGATGGAAAGCGGGAGAATGGGGCGGGGTGATGGAAAGCAGAAGAATGGGGCGGGGTGATGGAAAGTGGGAGAATGGGGAGGGGTGATGGAAAGCGGGGGAATGGGGCGGGATGATGGGAAGCGGAAGAATGGAGCGGGGTGATGGAAAGCGGGAGAATGGGGCAGGGTGATGGAAAGCGGGAGAATGGGGCGGGGAGATGGAAAGCGGGAGAATGGGGCGGGGTGATGGAAGGAGGGAGAATGGGGCGGGGTGATGGAAGGAGGGAGAATGGGGCGGGGTGATGGAAAGTGGGAGAATGTGGCGGGGTGATGGAAAGCGGGAGATAGGGCTGGGGTTATGGGAAGCGGAGAATTGGGCGGGGTGATGGAAGGAGGGAGAATGGGGCGGGGTGATGGAAAGAGGGAGAATGGGGCGGGGTGATGGAAAGCAGGAGAATGGGGCGGGCTGATGGAAAGCGGGAGAATTGGGCGGGGTGATGGAAAGCTTGAGAACGGGGCGGGGTGATGGAAAGCGGGAGAATGGGGCGGGGTGATGGAAAGCAGGGGAATGGGGCGGGGTGATGGAAAGCGGGAGAATTGGGCGGGGTGATGGAAAGCGGGAGAATGGGGTGGGGTGATGGAAAGCGGGAGAATTGGGCGGGGTGATGGAAAGCGGGAGAACGGGGCGGGGTGATGGAAAGCGGAAGAATGGGGCGAGGTGATGGAAAGCGGGAGAATGGGGCGGGGTGATGGAAGGAGGGAGAATGGGGCAGGGTGATGGAAAGCGGGAGAATAGGGCGGGGTGATGGAAAGCGGGAGAATAGGGTGGGGTGATGGAAAGCGGGAGAATGGAGCGGGGTGATGGAAAGAGGGAGAATGGGACGGGGTGATGGAAAGCGGGAGAATGGGGCGGGGTGATGAAAAGCGGGAGAATGGGGCGGGGAGATGGAAAGCGGGAGAATGGGGCGGGGTGATGGAAGGAGGGAGAATGGGGCGGGGTGATGGAAGGAGGGAGAATGGGGCAGGGTGATGGAAAGTGGGAGAATGTGGCGGGGTGATGGAAAGCGGGAGATGGGGCTGGGGTTATGGGAAGCGGAGAATTGGGCGGGGTGATGGAAGGAGGGAGAATGGGGCGGGGTGCTGGGAAGCGAGAATTGTGTCCATCACCCCGCCCCATTTTCGCGCTTTCCATCACCCCGCCCCATTCTCCCGCTTTCCACCACCCCGCCCCGTTCTCCCATTTTCCATCACCCCGCCCCGTTCTCCCGCTTTCCATCACCTCGCCCCGTTCTCCCGCTTTCCATCACCCCGCCCCGTTCTCTCGCTTTCCATCACCCCGCCCCATTCTCCCCCTTTCCATCACCCCGCCCCAGTCTCCCGCTCTCAATCACCCCGCCCCATTCTCCCGTTTTCCATCAACCCTCCCCATTCTCCCTCTTTCCATCACCCCACCCCATTCTCCCTCTTTCCATCACCCCGCCCCATTCTCCCGCTTTCCATCACCCCGCTCCATTTTCCCGCTTTCCATCACCCCGCCCGATTCTCCCTCTTTCCATCACCCCTCCCCATTCTCCCTCTTTCCATCACCCCGCCCCATTCACCCTCTTTCCATCACCCCGCCCTATTCTCCCTCTTTCCATCACCCTGCCCCATTCCCCCTCTTTCCATCACCCTGCCCTATTCTCCCTGTTTCCATCACCCCGCCCCATTCTCCCTGTTTCCATCACCCCGCCCCATTCTCCCACTTTCCATCACCGTGCCCCATTCTCCCACTTTCCATCACCCCGCCCCATTCTCCCGCTTTCCATCACCCCGCCCCGTTTTCCCGCTTTCCATCACCCCGCCCCGTTCTCCTGCTTTCCATCACCCCGCCCCATTCTCCCGCTTTCCATCACCCCGCCCCGTTCTCCCAGTTTCCATCACCCCGCCCCGTTCTCCCGCTTTCCATCACCCCGCCCCATTCTCCATCGTTTCATCACCCCGCCCCGTTCTCCCGTTTTCCATCACCCCGCCCCATTCTACCCCTTTCCATCACCCCGCCCCGTTCTCCCGCTCTCAATCACCCCGCCTCGTTCTCCCCCTTTCCATCACCCCTCCCCAGTCTCCCTCTTTCCACCACCCCGCCCCGTTCTCCCTCTTTCCATCACCCCGCCCCATTCTCTAGCTTTCCATCACCCCGCCCCATTCTACCGCTTTCCATCACCCCGCTCCATTCTCCCGCTTTCCATCACCCCGCCCAATTCTCCCTCTTTCCATCACCCCTCTCCATTCTCCCTCTTTCCATCACCCCGCCCCATTTTAACGCTTTCCATCACCCCGCCCCATTCTCCCTCTTTCCATCACCCCACCCCATTCTCCCGCTTTCCATCACCCCGCTCCATTCTCCCTGTTTCCATCACCCCTCCCCATTCTCCCTCTCCATAACCCCGCCCCATTCTCCCGCTTTCCATCACCCCGCCCCATTCTCCCGCTTTCCATCACCCCACCCCATTCTCCCGCTTTCCATCACCCCGCCCCATTCTCCCGCTTTCCATCACCTCGCCACATTCTCTCGCTTTCCATCACCCCGCCCCATTCTCCCGCTTTCCATCACCCCGCCCCGTTCTCTCGCTTTCCATCACCCTGCCCCGTTCTCCCGCTATCCATCACCCTGCTCCATTCTCCCGCTTTCTATCACCCCGCCCCGTTCTCCCTCTTTCCATCACCGCGCCCTGTTCTCCAGCTTTCAATCACCCCGCCCCATTCTCCCGCTTTCCATCACCGCGCCCTGTTCTCCGGCTTTCAATCACCCCGCCCCATTCTCCCGCTTTCCATCACCCCGCCCCATTCTCCATCCTTCCATCACCCCGCCCCATTTTCCCGCTTTCCATCACCCCGCCCCATTCTCCCTCTTTCCATCACCCCGCCCCATTCTCCCGCTTTCCATCACCCCGCCCCATTCTCCCGCTTTCCATCACCCCGCTCCATTCTCCCGCTTTCCATCACCCCTCAACATTCTCCCTCTTTCCATCACCCTGCCCCATTCTCCCGCTTTCCATCACCCGCCCCATTCTCCCTCTTTCCATCACCCCTCCCCATTCTACTACTTTCCATCACCCCGTCCCATTCTCCCGCTTTCCATCACCCCGCCATTCTCCCGCTTTCCATCACCCCGCCCCATTCTCCCCCAATCCATCACCCCGCCCCATTCTCCCTCTTTCCATCACCCCGCCCCATTCTCCCCCAATCCATCACCCCGCCCCATTTCCACTCTTCCCATTACCCCGTCCCATTCTCCCGCTTTCCATCACCCCGCCCCATTCTCCCGCTTTCCATCACCCCGCTCCATTCTCCCGCTTTCCATCACCCCGCCCCATTCTCCCGCTTTCCATCACCCCGCCCCATTCTCCCGCTTTCCATCACCCCGCCCCATTCTCCCGCTTTCCATCACCGCGCCCCATTCTCCCGCTTTCCATCACCCCGCCCCATTCTCCCGCTTTCCATCACCCCGCCCCATTCTCCCTCTTTCCATCACCCCGCCCCATTCTCCCGCTTTCCATCACCCTGCCCCATTTTCACTCTTTCCATCACCCCGCTCCATTCTCCCGCTTTCCATCACCCCGCCCAATTCTCCCTCTTTCCATCACCCCTCCCCATTCTCTTTTCCATCACCCCGCCCCATTCTCCCGCTTTCCATCACCCCGCCCCATTCTCCCTCTTTCCATCACCCGGCCCCATTCTCCCTCTTTCCATCACCCCGCCCCATTCTCCCGCTTTCCATCACCCCGCCCGCTTCATTCTCCCGCTTTCCAACACACTGCTCCATTCTCCCGCTTTCCATCACCCCACCCCATTCTCACTCTTTCCATCACCCCTCCCAATTCTCCCTCTTTCCATCACTCCGACCCATTCTCCTGCTTTCTATCACCCCGCCCCATTCTCCCTCTTTCCATCACCCCGCCCCATTCTCCCGCCTTCCATCACCCCGCCCCATTCTCCATCTTTCCATCACCCTGCCCAATTCTCCCCCTTTCCATCATCCCGCCCCATTCTCCCGCCTTCCATCACCCCGCCCCATTCTCCCTCTTTCCATCACCCCGCCCCATTCTCCCGCTTTCCATCACCCCGCCCCATTTTCCCTATTTCCATCACCCCGCCCCATTCTCCCGCTTTCCTACACCCCGCCCCATTCTCCCGCTTTCCATCACCCCGCCCTATTCTCCCGCTTTCCATCACCCCGCCCCATTCTCCCGCTTTCCATCACCCAGCCCCATTCTCCCTCTTTCCATCACCCCGCCCCATTCTCCCGCATTTCATCACCCCGCCCCATTTTCCCTCATTCCATCACCCCGCTCCATTCTCCCGCTTTCCATCACCCCGCCCAATTCTCCCTCTTTCCATCACCCCTCCCCATTCTCCCTCTTTCCATCACCCCGCCCCATTCTCCCGCTTTCCATCACCCCGCCCCATTCTCCCTCTTTCAATCACCCCGCCCCATTCTCCCTCTTTCCATCACCCCGCCCCATTCTCCTGCTTTCCATCACCCCGCCCCATTCTCCCTCTTTCCATCACCCCGCCCCATTCTCCCGCTTTCCATCACCCCGCCCCATTCTCCCTCTTTCCATCATCCCGCTCCATTCTCCCGCTTTCCATCACCCCGCCCAATTCTCCCTCTTTCCATCACCCCTCCTCATTCTTCCTCTTTCCATCACCCCGCCCCATTCTCCCGCTTTCCACCACCCTGCTTTCCATCACCCCGCCCAATTCTCCCGCTTTCCATCACCACGCCCCATTTTCCCTCTTTCCATCACCCCGCCCCATTCTCCCACTTTCCATCACCCCGCCCCATTCTCCCGCTTGCCATCACCCCGCCCAATTCTCCCTCTTTCTATCACCCCTCTCCATTCTCCCTCTTTCCATCACCCCACCCCATTCTCCCGCTTTCCATCACCCCGCCCAATTCTCCCTCTTTCCATCACCCCTCCCCATTCTCCCTCTTTCCATCACCCCGCCCCATTCTCCCGCTTTCCATCACCCCGCCCCATTCTCCCTCTTTCAATCACCCCGCCCCATTCTCCCTCTTTCCATCACCCCGCCCCATTCTCCTGCTTTCCATCACCCCGCCCCATTCTCCCTCTTTCCATCACCCCGCCCCATTCTCCCGCTTTCCATCACCCCGCCCCATTCTCCCTCTTTCCATCACCCCGCTCCATTCTCCCGCTTTCCATCACCCCGCCCAATTCTCCCTCTTTCCATCACCCCTCCTCATTCTTCCTCTTTCCATCACCCCGCCCCATTCTCCCGCTTTCCACCACCCCGCTTTCCATCACCCCGCCCAATTCTCCCGCTTTCCATCACCACGCCCCATTTTCCCTCTTTCCATCACCCCGCCATTCTCCCGCTTTCCATCACCCCGCCCCATTCTCCCCCAATCCATCACCCCGCCCCATTCTCCCTCTTTCCATCACCCCGCCCCATTCTCCCCCAATCCATCACCCCGCCCCATTTCCACTCTTCCCATTACCCCGTCCCATTCTCCCGCTTTCCATCACCCCGCCCCATTCTCCCGCTTTCCATCACCCCGCTCCATTCTCCCGCTTTCCATCACCCCGCCCCATTCTCCCGCTTTCCATCACCCCGCCCCATTCTCCCGCTTTCCATCACCGCGCCCCATTCTCCCGCTTTCCATCACCCCGCCCCATTCTCCCGCTTTCCATCACCCCGCCCCATTCTCCCTCTTTCCATCACCCCGCCCCATTCTCCCGCTTTCCATCACCCTGCCCCATTTTCACTCTTTCCATCACCCCGCTCCATTCTCCCGCTTTCCATCACCCCGCCCAATTCTCCCTCTTTCCATCACCCCTCCCCATTCTCTTTTCCATCACCCCGCCCCATTCTCCCGCTTTCCATCACCCCGCCCCATTCTCCCTCTTTCCATCACCCGGCCCCATTCTCCCTCTTTCCATCACCCCGCCCCATTCTCCCGCTTTCCATCACCCCGCCCGCTTCATTCTCCCGCTTTCCAACACACTGCTCCATTCTCCCGCTTTCCATCACCCCACCCCATTCTCACTCTTTCCATCACCCCTCCCAATTCTCCCTCTTTCCATCACTCCGACCCATTCTCCTGCTTTCTATCACCCCGCCCCATTCTCCCTCTTTCCATCACCCCGCCCCATTCTCCCGCCTTCCATCACCCCGCCCCATTCTCCATCTTTCCATCACCCTGCCCAATTCTCCCCCTTTCCATCATCCCGCCCCATTCTCCCGCCTTCCATCACCCCGCCCCATTCTCCCTCTTTCCATCACCCCGCCCCATTCTCCCGCTTTCCATCACCCCGCCCCATTTTCCCTATTTCCATCACCCCGCCCCATTCTCCCGCTTTCCTACACCCCGCCCCATTCTCCCGCTTTCCATCACCCCGCCCTATTCTCCCGCTTTCCATCACCCCGCCCCATTCTCCCGCTTTCCATCACCCAGCCCCATTCTCCCTCTTTCCATCACCCCGCCCCATTCTCCCGCATTTCATCACCCCGCCCCATTTTCCCTCATTCCATCACCCCGCTCCATTCTCCCGCTTTCCATCACCCCGCCCAATTCTCCCTCTTTCCATCACCCCTCCCCATTCTCCCTCTTTCCATCACCCCGCCCCATTCTCCCGCTTTCCATCACCCCGCCCCATTCTCCCTCTTTCAATCACCCCGCCCCATTCTCCCTCTTTCCATCACCCCGCCCCATTCTCCTGCTTTCCATCACCCCGCCCCATTCTCCCTCTTTCCATCACCCCGCCCCATTCTCCCGCTTTCCATCACCCCGCCCCATTCTCCCTCTTTCCATCATCCCGCTCCATTCTCCCGCTTTCCATCACCCCGCCCAATTCTCCCTCTTTCCATCACCCCTCCTCATTCTTCCTCTTTCCATCACCCCGCCCCATTCTCCCGCTTTCCACCACCCTGCTTTCCATCACCCCGCCCAATTCTCCCGCTTTCCATCACCACGCCCCATTTTCCCTCTTTCCATCACCCCGCCCCATTCTCCCACTTTCCATCACCCCGCCCCATTCTCCCGCTTGCCATCACCCCGCCCAATTCTCCCTCTTTCTATCACCCCTCTCCATTCTCCCTCTTTCCATCACCCCACCCCATTCTCCCGCTTTCCATCACCCCGCCCAATTCTCCCTCTTTCCATCACCCCTCCCCATTCTCCCTCTTTCCATCACCCCGCCCCATTCTCCCGCTTTCCATCACCCCGCCCCATTCTCCCTCTTTCAATCACCCCGCCCCATTCTCCCTCTTTCCATCACCCCGCCCCATTCTCCTGCTTTCCATCACCCCGCCCCATTCTCCCTCTTTCCATCACCCCGCCCCATTCTCCCGCTTTCCATCACCCCGCCCCATTCTCCCTCTTTCCATCACCCCGCTCCATTCTCCCGCTTTCCATCACCCCGCCCAATTCTCCCTCTTTCCATCACCCCTCCTCATTCTTCCTCTTTCCATCACCCCGCCCCATTCTCCCGCTTTCCACCACCCCGCTTTCCATCACCCCGCCCAATTCTCCCGCTTTCCATCACCACGCCCCATTTTCCCTCTTTCCATCACCCCGCCCCATTCTCCCACTTTCC